GTGCGGTTCAGTGGTCCACGTGACCACTGCCAGCCAATGGGAAGCCGGCAGAGTGCTCCTGCCGCTCGGGGGCCGGGTTTGTAAATTCAAAATCAGGCCCTTGGGCAACGGTCCGCTCCGCGCGCGGGGCTGGGCGTGGCGTAGGAAGGACTGAGGCAGGCGGGGCGCCTGGGACTGCTCGTCTGCTGCCCTGGGCACAGCGCTGGCGGGACACTCACACCACCCGGTGGAGACCCCTGGAGGGGCGGGGTCCGCGGGTGGCGGGAAGGAGCCCGGAGATTTCCGGGGCGGATCCGCGCCGCCGCCCACAGCCGGCGGTTCAGGGAAATTCAAATATAAACGTCTTTTACAGCCACACGCAAAACCCGTAGAAGCCAGGGCGACCACGGGCGTTGTAACCTTATCCCCGCCGGTGTACAGGGCTCGGAAAACAGCCTGGAGGCCCCGGGTTACGTAATGGGCGCTGGTGTTGGAGATACAAAACCCAGTGCGTGCTGGTTCCTAGTGCAAGCCTTTATTTTTCTCTCAGAAGGGAAACAGTGTATCGAAACACCTTCCCGTCAAATTAATGTACGCGTGTCTTGAAGCCGACAGATAAAGAACACAAAAACCAGAAGCCCTGACTTGAAATCATTTACTACCAGTGCTGATGGGCGGTCCCCAATCCGCTTATTTCTTAATTTAGGAGTTTATTAAATCAAAACCACCTCACAAGTGATGTGATTATTATGTGACTAAGTAAATAGCACAAGCTGTTAATTGGCATGCTTCGCTAAAATACAATGTATCAAAGTCTAAACTCGTGAAAATTTAAGTAGAAGTGACTTTCCTTTAAAAATGGAGTCTCCTAAAATGTAATTGACAACTGGTTCTAATAGAATGTCCATTAATCCCTTTGAAAGATTAACTTTTCGGCTAACATTAATCGGGATTTAATATGTTTCCTGCACTGGGCTTTTGGTGGATTTTCAGCCTACACAGCCGCTTTGAGGTGTAGGAACTGGATTATTTCCATTTGAAAATTCATCCATTTTATAGATGAAATTCCTTAAAGCCACCCAGCAAGTGACAGGACTGTATTTGAACTCAGGCGGTTTCAATTGACTCTAATGCCTCATCCTTAACTATAAACCAGAAGGCCACCTCGCAACCTAGTAGGAACACATCTGTAGAGAAAGTTCAGGTTGGTTACTTGAATAATGGCAGAAATAAAGACCAGGGTGTCAAATATTAATCAAGTCCCAGACATATAAATTAGTGAAGGGCACCTGGCTGCGAATTTCTGGGCACTCTGTGAGTAATGATACCGTCCTTAATGGTTCTATTTCCTGCCCCCTTATCGCAAATACAGTAGACTCTTAAATACCGGTTTGAACCTCCCGAGTCCACCTATACTTCCCCCCTCACCCCCAATAAATATAAAGTAAGCCCTCTTACCCTTGAATTTGGCATTTGCGGATTCGCTGAAGGAAAACAGTATTCTCATCCAGCGGTTAGGAATGGGCGTTTATGAATTAGCAAATGCAGAGGGCCGGCTTAAATCATACCCTGATTTTCACTTTCAACTGCACAGTGTAGACTCACCTAATCTTAGTGTTGTTCTAGGGTCAACTCTACTTCCTTCCTTAACTTCTATTTTGAAGTTGGTGTTAGGAGTTTATGAGTAAGTTTTCAGATAATTTTAATAACTTTAAAGTATCCAGAAAATTCAAATTACTGAGGAAGAAGTGAGGCCTAAGGAAGGTGAATGTTGGGTCCAAGGTGGTAGAATCAGGATTTGGAATGTAAATCACCTCTGGTTGAGGCCCTGGCCAATACATCGATGGTTTGATTTTACTGTGCACTCCCCTTTATCTCGGACTTTAAGAAAATATTTGGAAATTTTCTTTTAAAATTATTTTATCCATTTTTGAAGTTTTAAAACTATGCAAAGTGATTTCACATGTGAGCTCTACTGCTATCAACCCCATGAAGCTTCTCTTGATAGAATCCCTCAGTCTCCTAAAAAGGAGACTCATTATGTATCCTGTTATCAGAAACAACAAATAGATTGGAATCAGACAATTGAAGATTTGTTATTGATAGCTGTGTAACGTCATGGAAGTTATTCCTTAGTTTCCTCATAGGAAAATGGATAATTCCTACCTTGCATGGATTTTTTAAAATTAAGATCAGTATATACTGTTAGACATATTATATGTGATGGCAGAGTAGCAATTCTTATTAATAGTAATTCTGTGTCTTCAATCAAAAGCAATGAAAAAAATGGAAAATCTCTTAGCCTTACAATTAGGCAATTGTTCAAATGTTTGGTCAAGTACTTTACTAAATATACATTTCCCTTATTCTCTTAGCTTTTCTCATGCCTAACTGTACCTGGAGTAAGGCCTATTTCTTCCTTGCTCTTTCAAAATATGACATTGTCCAGCCCTCTTCATTTAACTCCTAAAATCCTTTCCTGCCAATGTTTTCCCCAATGAATCAGAAGAGAAATAAATACTATATGAGTTTGGTGACAATGCTTCTGCATTCATAAGGACAATTGTAATTTCAAGTATTCTCTGCCTTGTTTTTCCTATAAACCTTCACTTACTTGTCAGGGCACATGTTCTGATTATTGGTTAGGCCATGTACATCCCCACCAAGCTTCAGCTTGCCATGTCATCATTTCCTTCTTCAATACTCCTCCCATGATACACAGCTACCTCACTACTGCTTATTTGACATGTGCCCTGCTTTCTGTATGTCATTTGGATTTGAGACAGAAAAATATAGGATGCTTACCAGATCTGGGCAGAAAGGAGCCCAAACTAGGATGGGGATGGAGAGGCGGAGACGGGGAAAGGAGAGACTGAAGGCTAGCAGTAACCACTTTTGTCCCAGGAGAGGGGAGTGACAGCTGGCAGATAGTTGACTATACAATGCAAACAATGAGATAGCTAAGGCTGCAGTACAAAATGTAGAAAAATCTTAAGTGGTATCTCTCAATATATATTTGCTGGATAAATGAATGAATAAATTAATACATGGCCTACTACTAGGCCAGAATCCTATTTAATATACTTTGCAAAGTTAATACTTTTTTTAGTTATAAAAGTATAAGAATAAATCATGTTTCAGAAATTGGAGTGACTATCCAGAATTCCTTCCAACTTTGATTTTGATTTTTATATTTTAAAAAGAGCTTAAGTGTTTTAAGGGTGTGTTTATCATCTTCAATAGGATTCTTCTTTAAGCCCAGCCTCATGAAGTTTATACACTGCTCAAAATTTTTTTCTAAAGTGCTTGTTAAGAGCTGGGTATTTGGCAATAGTAGAACTGGTAGAGCTATTTTAACTCAGTGGTTCATCTTACTGATAGCTTATGCTAATTTGCACTCTTGCATTTTAGTTTTGTTATGCCAATGTATGGTCATAACACTACAACACTTTTCTTTAAAAATCTTTAAAGCATTCTTAAACTAGTATTTATGCATCTGATTTTTAACTGTTTTTTTAATCTTACAAAAGTATGCCCCTTCACCCTGTATTCTGCATCTTTGCCTTTAGACTGGTTAAAATAACAGTAGAAACTGGTGCTAAGGTATAATAAGGCTTATATATAATTCGGCTGTTTCTGCTCTGGTTGGAACTGACCCCACCCAAAGAGTTAAGGATTTTCCTTTTTATTATGATTAGTCTTTAGCCAGCCACTTTATTTATCTTGACGTATGGGTTATTCCTACCCCGTAACACTTCAGTTTAGTCATTTAATTCTTAGGCTGTAGAGTTGAGATTTTTCTTGCCTAAAATATCTTCCCCACCATCCTCCCTCTTTCATTTTGCCTGAAATTTCTCCATAAGACTTAGTCTTTTGGGTCAATCTAGAAAAGTTAGGGCACCATTTCTAGCCCCTACGACTGAGTTCAAGAAAGCAGAGGAAAAAGG